TATATATATATAATGTTATAAACAGAAAAAATGGAACATGATTCCAATGATAGTTTAACAAATTTTGACAAAAAATTATTTAGTTTAGATTTTATTTAAATAAATTTAACTAATTTAGAGATATATTGTATATATAATAAGTTATCATATGTGAACATCTACTCAATGAGAAAAAAAAGAGGAGGTAATTAAAAAAAAGAAAGAAATAAGATTTGATCTTGATTAAAGATGATAAATTTTGATTGAAGAAACTTTAAAGATTATCTCTACAAGATTTTGAATGAAGTCTATCAATCTAAATTATCATTAAGAGGGGTAGATTATTTTTCAAATCAAGTCAAAAATATTATATTCTTTAAATGATAGAATGTATTATATATTTAATTTGATACAATTATAATTTTACTTATTTATATGTTTTTTAATCTTTTTTTCTAATAGATTAGAACATTAGAACGAAAATTATCAAAAATGGATCAATGAATTGAGTTTTATTTTGATGGCGTGAAACCCCAATTATTATTTTGGTGAAATGATTATATCATCCACTTTAGAGACATAAAAATGTGAGATTACTTTCAAAGTAAAACTGAATACACCTTTATCCTAAGAGTTTACTTCCTTACTAAAACCGAATAGAATGATTGATTCTGTTTTTACTATTATTTTTAAGTTATTATATATTTTTTTCTTTCCTTCTATTATTCTTGATAAGTGAAAATGACATGAAAAATAAATAGATCCGTCAATCATATATTATCGATATATAATGATTTGATCTAAGGACACGTAGACTCAAATGATCACACATGGTCATAAGATTTAGTATTTGACCTCGTAAAGGGCTCAGTCAAGTGACGTGGACTACAGAAGTAATGAACATTATGTTATGCTCTCACTCAACACATCACATGTCCCCTCTTAATGTCCGACGATCTCGGATATAACCACTCTTAGACTAGTTAGGAAAAGGACCATAAGATATGCGATTGGGACATTCCCCTGGTTAATCTCACTGATTAGTTTGACTAATCTAACTGTTCCGACTAATTTTGAATACTGGAGTTGTTGTTGTTAGGAACACCATTGAATCAGTCGACACATCGGAGAAACCTGAGCATGACGATGGCATTCAGGCCCCCATCAACATGACCAAGCTGTCTGAATTCACGTAGGAATTTGAACATATTGGTGGCAGATAGCAGTCAGACAATTATTAGAATTTGTAGTTTTGTTCTGATGAATCCATCACAGTTAACTGCTCCTTTTGTCTGGACTAGGAAGCAGTTGCACCTGAGAGAGGACGTGATCGAAGGATGAGCTAATGTTCATTTTAATTCGGTGACAAGCATCTGTCAAGCCCTGTAGATGCCGTTGTTGCAATCTTGGTCATCTTTTGATGTCTGCAAGACCTCGCAGGTGGTGTTGAACATGCACTTGGTATCTGGCGAAGATTCTTTGCTTGCTGCACACATCTCTTTGATTAGGATGCACTGTTCAATCTTTTGCTGCTCGAAAGATCTTCCGCTATAGATTTCTGTTAATTCTACTTGTTTCCATTTCCAAATAATCTGATCACAGAAGACGTCGAAACGTTTGCAGGGATACGAACGAAATGGTTTGGTCATTTCTCTTGTAAACAGAATAACATCTGCTTCACATTTCACAGTCATTTCTTTCTTTGTTTCGGTGACGAACATTTACAAGCTCACCGTAATTGGAGATCAGACACCGATACAATGCCAAAGGTTGAGTTCATATATCGTACACCACTATTTTTTTAAGAGTATCCTATTTTCATATGTGGCTTGATTTGATTTGAACGTCAGACTCATACTATCTTAACCTTCATCTTACACATGAACATTTTCTTAATATTTAGTTGGACGATCACATTAGCCGCCTCCTGATTGTGGCAGTGATCATGTTCATCTTCTCAAGTCAGCACTCTCAAACCTACCCTGGCCTTCTCCTTTCAAGCAACAGCAGGACATGTCTCATGTTCTGGTCTAACGGGCTTCGATGCTGCTTGGATCACTCCCTCCATTAATGGGTGTGTCGTCTTTATTATTGAGAGCTGATGCAATGATCGATGTCCTTAAGATTGTGATTGCAAGTTGATGAAACAATGGACTCTCACAACAGCAATTAGCCCTGTGCCCTTTTGACTATTTTTCCCGTCGACGGAAGCGACCTCTGAACGTCGCATGCATGCATGAACTCAATTGCTGTGGCATTGGAGAGCTGCTATTTAGATTCAACCGATTGCTTGATGTTGATCCAGGAGAACAGGGTGTATAAATGACCGACTTCAAGTGCAAGGAATAGTTGAGCATTGGAGCAAGGAAGAATGGGAAGATCTCCATGCTGCGATGGGAATGATCTCAAGAAGGGTTCCTGGACCTCTGAGGAGGACCAAAAGCTCATCCAGTTCATCCAGAACCATGGCCATGGAAGCTGGAAAACCCTCCCCAAACTAGCTGGTCGTCTCTCTATATATTCTATCATGTATGTACATATACTGAAGATAAATGCGTGCTTCTTGTGCAGGACTCAATAGATGTTGCAAGAGCTGCAGGCTTCGATGGACTAACTACTTACGACCAGATATCAAGAGAGGAAAGTTGTCCCCAGAAGAAGAGAACACCGTACTTCATCTCCATTCCATCCATGGCAACAGGTACAACCTCAGCTCCACAACCCTGCCTTAGGTCGCCTGGATTCCAAACATCGAACGTAAGGCTCGCCTCTTTCTTCTTGTTTCCTTAGGTGGTCGACTATCGCCGCGCACCTCCCGGGCCGCACTGACAATGACATAAAGAACTTTTGGAACTCCCTGAAGAAGAAGAAGAAGAAGCCGATCTGTACGAGCACCGATCCGATGACCAACCGGACGAGCACAGAACTCTTTGCCAGCCTGCTACCACATTTAGCTCTCGCAAGTCACAAAGAAATCATGGAAAGATCATCGTGGGACGACTATGGAGGTCATCTACAGGCAGAGGCTATTAAGCTGGCTAAGCTACAGTTCCTGGATTACCTTCTCCAGTCTGCAACACCAGTAGTAACTAGCGGTAGCAGCAATAGCATCATCTTCTCCGAAATGGAACCCATGGAATTGGCAAACACACCCATGCCTTGGCCCGCTTCTCTCCCTTCTCCTTGCCCTTCACCGCTGTTTGGCTCCCCAGCTGTCCACCAGAACTTGCCTGGAACGTCACGCAGTTTCGAGCACCCGCTGATCAATGACAGGAAGGGAGAAGACATGATGACATCCATGGTTTCTTCACCAACTCTCCCCCCTCTTCACGATGCCTCATGGGGCAATGAAGCTGTCTGTACCACTTGTAGTCACGGTGTAGCTCCTTCAATTTGGCCTGATGATCCACTCTACGACTGAGTTGAGTTGATCTCTTTGTCGCTTCCCTTTCCGCAGCAGCGGGTTCTTAGTGTACGTCGTCCCATGCACTCGTACTGTAAACCACTTATGATAAGAGATCGAGGTTGGTGTTGGATTCGCACTTCATGGCAATAATTTGATTGCTAATTGATTCATAACAGTAGAAGTAAAGGAACAACGGACGGCATGTTGATTCAACACCTGTATATTTATTATAAGCGGCCACATTGCCCGGTTGGTAGGAACATTCGGCCCCGTTGTGGCACGTCATGGTTTAATCTGATCACATGATGGTGAGCAATTCGATTCCAGGGTTTATAGTTTATTTGAGCTCGGAAAAAATACAAAGAAAAAACAGAAGAAACAATTAATCACCCCTCCAATATGCTCATTCCACCTTCAGCACTATCTTCATAGACTCGTAGACGAAATAGCTAATGGAAGCAGATGGCAGTACCTGGGAAAGAAAAGACACCTCGATCATTACAGATCACCATAAAAATATGAAGCAATGATCACACACACACACACATACTGGTGATAAGTACCTGTAACAAGCTAGGAATCATGCCGGCATACAGTGCCGGGGCACCACCTTTGTCAATTATGTTCATAAACGTGGCAAAGGCATTCAGTTTGTTTGCTTGAACCTGCATCTGTAGATGTCGCCTCACCACTTCAAACGGGTATGTGGCAGCCTCAGCACAAGCACCGGCAATGGCCCCGTAGAGCAAAGTCCTCACCGGTCCCAGCTCCAGTTGATCAAAGGCATTCACTTCCTCACCTTGTTGTTGTTTCATTAAAGCCAACCTGTTCCTCCCTTCCGGTGACCGCAGATAATCTGTCTTCAGTATATCGTACACGCCGTAGAAGACTGCACCTGAAGGTGCCATGCTTATGAGAGACGGCACAAGCCCCTTGTAAAGAGAAAAGAATCCTTCGGTTTCGATCATGTGACGGAAAACACGTATGACACCTCCCAAGGCTTCCCCTCCGGGAGCTACCATCTTCGTTCGTATCTGAAATTTTAAATTTTCAAGGCTTAGATATAAAAACATTGGCACATTCTGTATCTAAAACTCCGATGCAATCACTCGAAATATATCAGCAAAAACATTAAAATTATCTTCAAACCAAGGAATAAGAAATCAACAATTTATCCATACCGTGTCCATCGGTATGCAAAGAATTGTTGCAGTAATGCCAGCTGCAGCCCCCGCAAGAAACCTTTCAAAGTTTGTTGTTTCTTCATTTCCAGATAGTTTCAGAAGCTGCTTTCTATATGTATCATATGCATAGAAGTTAATTGCTTTAAAAGGAGCAGTACGAAGAATGTTGACAAAGTTCCCTTTCCAGAAGCCCTTCAACCCTTGTGTCGTTGCAATTTTGTTAATGACTGCAAATAGATTGCTCTGTTCACCACCAACTACATATTCCAACTTTAGCCTCTCAAGAGGAGCAACAAAGGTCCTGATACACCACAATATCAATATATGAGGAGTGCAAATAGATTGCTCTGTTCACCACAAACTACATATTCCAACTTTAGCCTCTCAAGAGGAGCAACAAAGGTCCTGATACACCACAATATCAATATATGAGGAGTGCAAATAGATTGCTCTGTTCACCACAAACTACATATTCCAACTGTAGCCTCTCAAGAGGAGCAACAAAGGTCCTGATACACCACAATATCAATATATGAGATGTCATAATGTCCCACTCTAACTAGTCCTCATAAGTTAACTACTGTTTCTGAAGGGCAGCTCAATAGGAGAGAGTAAAGTCATGAACAAGGTCCAAAAATTTGTATATGAGAAAAAGAAGATAAATGGTGATACGGTGGGATCTGAATCACAAAATTCTTATACTAAACAACGTTATATATAAGACAAGAATTTGAAGTTTCATCACGTACAGGATCTGAAACTGACAAACCAAAAAATAACATTAGATATCATTTCAAAGTCAAAAAAATCTGATCAGACCAGTAAATAATATTGGCAGTATGCTTGGTATAGTAGTAAAAGATAGAAGCATATTCAAAATCATGGTTTACAGCAAAAAAAGACTTAACAAATAATATACGAGCATGATAAAAGAAAGGGGTCGCAACCACTATAATTTCTCATTCTCATTTACTTTAAGCTCTTATCTACCAATTAGGATAAATCTCAATTCCAGAACTGGAAAGAATAAAATAAGACAAAATTTGTATGTGTTTTACTGCATGTATGAGAGATTACTTGTAGTTATTGAGTCCAAATTGGTGGAAGATATTTCAACTATTCAAATAAATCAAAGTGCAACAAGGAACCAAATAGGTTTTGGTAGCAATCCAAAAGCCTCCACATTCCTAGAAGTACCTAAAGATCTGAAAAATCATAGAAAGGCCACCACATACTTGTCCATCAGGATAGAGACATTCTTGATAACAACAAATTAAAAAGTAACCTAATATAACAGTGCATGAAATTTATATTAAATAATTTGTTGAATGTATAATCGTATTGTGATTCTCAGAACCAAGCATGCTAGTGGTTCAATTTTTTAAGAATTTGTTACTATCCTTCAATCTTTCTGGTGTTTCGCAATGTAGTAATCCCTCCTCTAATTCGAACTTACCAATAAGGAAATAGAATTCTCAGAAACACACATTTTTTATTTTTTCACTAAGTCTTGACAAACAACACTATTATTACTCGAAGGAAAACAGTAGCCATCTCAACTCACTGATATATGCCAAATTATGTTCCTTCGGTAGGCCCTATAAAAAGCTGACAATTAGCAGCAGAAACGGATGAGAATAAAAATATATTGATGAAGAATAAAAATAAGTAGCTTGTTTGCGATATAGTTCTATTAAAAAGAGGAACTAATGATAATGAATCAAACATAAAACAAAGAAATGAGCTTCACAGTGCCTCGAAACCATAGCGGCGACAGCTCCAGCCCAGAGATGCTTGGTGGTGTTCATTGCACCGGCTCCCACCCCCTGCACTCTACCATTCATATTCTCGTTCTTAATCCTGTTCTTCTCATGCTCCTCCAAAACCACCATTACGCCATCATCCTTCCCTTCCCACGCCGCCTCCTCCGACCTCCTCACCTCCTTCCCAAGGAATCCCGCGGACTCCCGCACGAAACCCTCGCTTCCTTTCACCGACAAGCTCACCGACAGGAAACAGTCCCCGACAGCGCCTCCCCACCTGATCCCGCCCAAAGGAGCCGGCTTTCCGCAGGAACGGCACAATCTAACCGGCATCGTCACTGCGGAATCTGGGACACAGGGTTCAAGGAAGAGGCGACCTCCGTCGGCGAAGAGGGGTGGAACGTATCGCTCATCCGGGAGGCGGATGCGAGGAAGGATGGCGGCGTGGAAGCGGACCTCCATGCCAGGCATCGCGAAGAGAGGGAGAACAGATGGGAGAAGCTACAGAGTTCAGAATGTATTTCTAGGGAAAGGGTCAAGATTTGGAGAAGGTAGGAAGCGGGGAGACGTGGGAGTGTGGCGAGCAATGTAAGCGTTCGAGAAGAAGAGTCATGGAGAGGCGAATATGCTCGGGGCGAAATGGAGATGGTAGTGGCAAAAGAGGCCTTTTGGGTTCCGCCGGCGTTAGCTTCCACTAGTTTTGGGGAACCTGACATTGCACACGTGGATTTTTCTTTTCTGTTTTTTTATGGATCGGAAGTTGGACATCGTTAACTCTGATGACCAAGGTGGGCCCCTGTTTTATTTTTATGTACGGCTTTCCGTATCTATCTGAGTTTAAAATAACACATTTGACACTTTATATATATATATATATATATACCTATTTGCAACTTAGGTTGCCATGACGAACCATGGGCATAAGCTTTGGGAAGATGACAGCAGAAAATTGCATCAAGAAAACCCCCGAGTCATTCCAATAAGATAATGAACTTTGAAGCCGTGAAGCCATACAAAATCGACATCTCAAGTCTATACTCTTCTAAAAAAAACTGGCAGTTGAATGATGGCAACGAGAGGGCATATGCCCGAGTATGCATACATACCTGTCATTTAGAATAACTTCCTAGTGCATCTTGATCAACTAGAATACGAATTTTGAGCTGCTTTCCTTGGTTGCAAGTCATTGTAGCATATTTCCATTATTCTCTCATGCCTCTGGCAGGATCGAATCTGCTGCCTTTAACATATCAGAACAGTATGAGGCCATGCGATTCTTCTAGCACCAGAATAAGAAGATGGCTACTTGTGCAAGTACAAAAAGCACATTATGATTTATGGACGATAGCCAGTATAGGTAAGCATTTTCAAAGATAAACAAGTTTTGATGCGATATAAAATGAAGTGCCTAAATTATCCTTAAACTCAACACACATCATATGCTTCAACCCCTAAGACTAAGAGTCATTGGCATGGGCAGTTTGATCAACAAAAATGGATGTTCATGTGGATAAGACAATCGCATGTCTACCTATCAGTTTATACCAAAGCGAATAAAGCATCCTATAAAGTTCAAAATGTCGCAAGGTCTCATCACAACCAAGTCTGATTATATCACGTTGGCATTAAAGTCAAATAAGGAATTATTCTACAGATGATCTATCGAATTCAATTAAAATAAAATATACATTCAACCTGAACCGAAATCATTCACTTTCCTTTCGCACAATGTTTCATACTAAATTACCAAATAAACTGATACATAGTAAATCTTCTAATAAACAATTTGGACTAATAACAAATGGCCTTAAACTACATCTAGCACAAAAATTTATAAGACATATTAAAAACAAAATAGGTATGGCTATCAATCGCAAGTACCACATTAAGCAACTGCAATATGGAATACTTCTCTAACCCAAGGATCATACAAGTATAACTAGAGTAATTGATTTTTATTTTTCGATGAAACAGGATTCAGAACAACCTAATTTTTTTAAAAAATAGAATATGTAAAAGCATAATACAAAGCAATAGAAAAAGAAATATGAAAGGTAGGTTTGGGAGAGCTGCTGTCTTATGTGAATAGTAAGAGTGTGTGATAAAACTATGTTCTTAGAAAAAATTTCCTAAAGATTCACCATCTTTTCAAAATTGTGAAAAAGAAGAACCATCAGTTTTTATTCGAAGATTCTTAGTATCTCGGATCAAACAATCCAAGTCTATCCAAAAAAAATTTCTGTCCAGATTATAGTCATTTTTTGGCACAGAGTGACAAGAGGTTAAGGCATTCTCAAGAGAGGATGGTAATCATTAGTTTCCCCAAAAAAACATTATCTTCATTCATGCCACAACTGCAAAGGGACATGTAAAAAGGTGCTCATCAATTTCCTCACTGGAGGCACCAAAATGCATGCAGAATTGACATTGATTTCAATATATAGAATAAAAGTTGGGTGTGTAGTCTTTCCCTTCAAGGTTCTCCAACCAAATATCTTAACTTTTGGAGGTGCTTTTAATTTCATTACTTCAACAATCAATAGAGCATGGGATATGACAAATTCCTGTCAATTTCCTTCAGCACCTGAAATGCATGCTTCATCTAACCCTACTAAAACAACCTATGAACATAACCAAGTGTAATGAATCTCATCTGGGCCAAATCCGTCTCTTATATTTCAGGAAGACTTCAAAGAACCAACTGAAAAGGTCCTTCTGAAATCCAATCACTACCTCTTGACCATCATTCTAAACAAACTCTCACCAACAGAGGCACTGGTTCAGCTGATCCCAGCAAAAACTTGAAATATGATAAACAGTAATCTTTGTCAAAAATAATTGTCATAAACATCATTTGCACATTCATTTATATTTCATCAAACAAATGCTTAGCGTATAACTTAATTGCAACGCTAAGAATTATGTTAATTTTCGAACACTAACATTTGGCTGATAGCTCCAGATCTAAAAACCATGTATGTCACTCCATTCAGCTACCCAATATCAGAAAAACTCAACCATATATCAGCACCTTTTAGACCTTCTCCAATTTTCCGAGGCCTCCTGAATGGAGTGAAACCAGAACAAATGCCTTACATATCCAGAAACTGCTAAATGGAAGAAGCTTAAAGACCAAAAGTAAACTCTTCATACTGGGCATCATGGCCATGATAACCACTACCAGCTCGGACGCGAGATAAGTTAGAATAAACTAAAACTTCTTAATTGACATTCTAGATCATAGAATCTAGTCAAGGTCCTGATCTGATTAAACAACATCCGTTATTACTGTTAGGTCAGAAATGTTTGCTAATTATCTTTTGACATGATCAAGGATGAAAGACTAAAATACAAAACCCTTCTTTTGGTGGCAGCTTGATATTAGTTTCTGGTAACATCATGTAACGAATTTAAAGAACACTAGAGAACTAGCAAATAAACTGTCAAATAACATCATCTTTGTTGTAGGATTGAACTTATTACAAATGCTGGACATTTCTAAGTCCATTTTTTGAGTATTTAGTATAAATGATTTAAAGGAGAGAAAGATCACAGTAAACTAACAAACTGTTCTTAAGATTAGTCTTGCAATTCTTTAATCAAAACAGCAGTGTTTATACCCAAAAAAAATTCACTTGTGTGTACCTGGAAAATTTATAATATGGTTCAATGAGAATAACCACAAGTCATTTCTGAATGAATCTTTCCAGTTGGTTGTGAATTTGAGAAACTTAGCAATTTCTTAATCGTGAAAAAGATGTAAATATATTAAAAAAATCAAGTAACACACTTCTACACTCTATGGTGGTTAGACAGACTATAGCCTTGTAGAAAAGACAACCAAATGAAAATAGAAAACTTATATCATAACCTCCAACAAAAGTTGCCATAAGCTAAACAAAATGGGTAAAGTACAAAGATCAATAGATAATTTGCCTGAAGCATTTGTGATAAATGTATCACATGCATGGACATATATATGTTTCATGTTTCACATAGTCATAATTAATAAGCTTATTTGTAACATATATAGGTTAATTTCATAAATAAATAAAAAAGGCATACGTGTATGTATCACAAAGAAGTTCAATAGATACAAAATGATGAGATCTCTCAGTCAAAACTTCATATAACTTCCGCTATTCACAATCTATTTGCCGTTCTTCTCACTCTACGCGGTTCCAATCAACTGAAAACGCAGAGAATTTAACTAAGAGGAGTCCCTACTTACCCTAGAATTGCCACTCGACCCTCATTACCAATGCCTCCTCCATTGGAAACAAAGACCCAGAAAAGGAGAACGAGCAACATCCTCAGATCAAGAAGAAGGATTACCTCCACTCCTCCGAGAAAATCCATTCTCCTCCTCGGATACGCCGGAAACTTATCGATTTCTCCCTGGATGACTGGGGTTTTTCGAAGACCCCATTAAATCGCAAAAAAACAAACAAGGGGGATCGCCGGTAGTTCTGGCTCCCTCGGCGGCGGCGGCGACGACCGGAGGGAGAAGCGCTTCATGTTCCTTCCCAGCCATCTCCGGTGCTACCTTCGAAACTTATTCGTTCCCACGACTTAATGGACGACTTCCAACAGGATAGGCGGAGTTGGAGAGCATGAAGTAGCGTGCTGGCTCGATGGTCGTAACTTAAGCGGGGTTGAATGCGTCGGTATCCTTCCTACGGAAGGGTCTTGTTTTCCCGCGTCCTTTTCGGTGCTTAATTTTGAATTATTGCATCGTGTCTTTGTAGCAATTTATTCTCAGGCTAAATGGGCCGTATTTGGCAGCCCAAACTTGCGATGAGGTTCGTCATTGGCAAGAGGCAGCCATGCCGGGCATGTCATATTAGTAGAGCATCGGAATTCGATGAATCTTACGACCCCCTCTCTGGCCTTGCAGGTGGAGGTTTTGTGATCAAGAACTGAGGAAAGGATCTTAGTAGAAGGCGGCTTCGCCTTTGAGGCTGCACTGATGTATGAATCAACTGATACGCTTGTCTTTTCCAACTATTCCGTGGTCGCCACTGATATATGAATCAACCCCTTCTTCTTTCAAATCCAGTTTGGGGTAGAATAATCGAAGCTGGTTTTGCAGGCATGACATGCAGCTTGTCTGAACTCTTTAAGGATGAGCATCTTTTTCCCTTTTCTTTCTTCAACCTTGTTCTTACAGCTGGTCTGAGTGGGTTAATGATGGCGACCACCTGCTGCCATTGGAGCTTCTCTGCCTCCAATAATTTGAGCTCCCATGGCTTCTTTGATCCAGCTGAGGCTTCAATCATGGGTTGAAAGCGGTGGGCGCCATCTTTCCACGCATGAGAGGCCTGGAAAAGAGTCAGGTGTCGCTCCATTAGAAGGCTTAGAGTGGATTCCACCTCCTCACTCAGTCAAGGGCTGGCTACTTTGCTAGTGGTCAAGTGTAGAACTTTCATGGCCTAACTAAAAGATACCCAGAGTTCCCGGTGCTGAAAGGAGGCTACTGCAGTATGTCAATGTGTCAGCTTCTTCTGTGATGGTTGTTGATTGGGATCAAAGGTGGCACTGGTTGGAGCAGTTTCTATTGACTGGATCAACAATGGCTGTTCTTGTCATGGAAAGGTCTTCTTTTTGCTTCATTGCCCAATGTTCTTCTTTCTTTCAGAAGCATGGTCTTCTCCAAGTATACAGTGTCCAATTGGTTGGAACCTCGGGTATGCATATCAAGATGTTGTAGTATGTTTTGAATCTTGAGAATTTGCAGTGAACTTTTGTGTATATCACATCTGTGTGTCAGTTGATGACAGATGTATGTAAATACATTGACAAAAACTTCATCCATATATCTGCTGTTCTCTATCTGAGCAACCTCTGCAAATGTAGATACAGAACATGTAAAAATCTTTTCATCTTTTTATGGAAAATTTGTCTTTTTTTTTTTGCTATGACAAAATAAGATCTGCAAAGGTCAAGCAAGATCTCCTTTATCATCACGTTGAATTCTAAAGGAAAGAGAACAAAATGTTGTCTCTTCTCCGCATTTACTTTGATTGCTAGCCCTGAGTTAAGTTGGTATGCTTGAGTTCTTTCAGCTGATGCATGCAAGACTGAAGTTTAGAGCAAAGCAAAAAGGATAACAAATGAATCTAAATCCCATCAGGTGGCTTCAAGTTTCAGAAGAAAAAGATTTGGTGATAATAACATTAGTCTCCATGGATCATCATCATCAAGTGTAATTTGGCTACACTGCAAAAGATTGGATGCTTTCATTCTTGAAGTTACTTGTGATATCTTTTTGATGCCAATGATAGACCATCGATTCAGCCCTCATGCTCAGCAGCTGATTTCCATGTTTCTAGCAACTGTTTCTGCATATATTCTACATTCCATAAGAACATTTACATGATCAAAGATGAAATATGCTTCTCATCTGAAGCAGTATGATTGTGTTACTCAGAACATGGGAACATTTGGATTGCTCATCTTCATATGCCATCATCTCGACTTCACAAAAGAAATATTGCAGCTGCATTCTTGTACACTAAAAATGAAATTGCATGAGAGAAAGCTCTGCAAAGTTAATTATTGCTATCTGCTCATTTTGTACACTAAAAATGGCTACATGATTCCACTTAAACAAGTCACAAGATGCGGCAAGAAATCCAGTTAATAATGGTTTCAAGCCTACAACCAGATTGGAGACATCATCAAAAAAAGAAAAAAGAAGAAACTGCTCTGAATTTTCTTTTCTTAATGATGGACCAAAATTATCCATGAGAATTGCTTTACATTGAACAACACTCTGAACACATTTTTACACCCTGCACTCCTCCATAGAGATTTGCTTCCACTCCACTATGCGTCGCAGAAACTTGAGAACCTATTTATCGAAAACATTCAGAACAATTATATTAGCCTATAGATCTGTCGTCAAAAGTAGAACAAAAAAATGATAGCCTCAGTCAGAGTTTGCTACTCACCTCAGCTGGTTCTCTCAGAGAAAAAGAGGCATTTGTTTCCTTTGCAATCGTTGAAACAAGAATGCCAAAGCCTTGTCCTCTATCTTGCAAAACCTGAAAAGACAATACAAGACAATATATGTTTTACTTAATCCAAAATCAAATCTATGAATTGTTCACTATGATTGATATCCAATCTATTGAAGACAAAAAAGAACATCATAATACCTTGAAAGCATCTTCGTCGGTACGATCATCTCCTATGTACAATGGAAATACATCATTGAAGCCATCATATCCTGGGTAACAAAAGGTTGATGACCAACGGTATGCTGAACTGATGGAAGAATGCAGTTTAATGGCCATTAGAGCATACCAAGAGACTCCAAAAGAAACTCGAGGGCCTTCCCCTTGTCCCACTTGATGCTTGGGCGAATCTCCAACACCTAACATTCGAGCAGCAATCAAACCAAGTCATGTTTACAGTAACAGAGTTTCCAAACATGAATTATGGCAAAATATTTGCTAGAAGAGACGAAGAAAGAACTGGTGAACTTGGGATTCTACCTTCCTTCCATGAGTGAGTCTGAGCTTAGGGTAATCTGTGATCGTTGACCTGACCTTCTCAGCTAGTAAACACCATTTCTGCAACCAAACCAAGATCAAATGACTTACTGTGAGACACAGGAATTTGCATGTATGTCTTCCTATACTGTCATATGTTTACCTTTTCATCAACACACCGAAAGTGAACAGATAGGCAGAACTTGTTGTTCTCCACCCTACAGCCAGGGATGCACTTTGTTGTCTCTACCAAATGCTTGTAAACCTTCAAGAAGGCAATGTACAGATAAGTACTATTTGGTGAGTGCAGCTTTCAGTCCAATGACTATGGAATTCTTCCAAGTTCAACTTGGAAACAATGAATCAAACAGATCATATATAGTGCCTGCAACTTTTTGGACGCAGTAAAATAATCAAGTGCTTGATGTAGAGTTGCATTTAGAACAGCAAACCAAATAGTTTCGTGTGTCCTTGCAGATACTCTAAGAAGCGGTGCAGAATCAACTTTTGGAGATTGGAACTCACCTCATCTATCATGGGAAGGAAGTCCCTGGCTGGTTGAAACAAAACATTCTCTGCCTGCACCAACAAAGATGACATCGAGGCTAAGAGACTAGCCTCCTATAGTATCGTTGAGAGAGATGTAGCTACTGGTTGTTGAGCTTGCCATGAAAGAGAGGGAGACCCACCTTAGCTTTTAGGTGCTGAGGCCCATCGTTGGGACCTTTGATGTCCATGCCATGGCTCCCGGCATAGTACAATTCTGACAGTTCTACGAAGCTAGTGACCTGATCATTGACAAAGCAATTGTTATCGACAGAACGGAATAGAAGAGCTTGATCTCATTCTTACGGTTGAGTAGAAGCAGAAATGTACCTTCTCTGTGCACCTCCCACTCACGATAGCTGTTGGAAACTGTCTTGCCACCTCTCTTACTGCTTCCCTCATCTGCTTCAGAAGGAGGAGTTCCTTAGTGCCTCCGTTCCACAGAAGAAACAGTGGAACAAGGGACAACACAGAGAGCAACGGAAGCAGAGCCAGGGGATCCGAAGAACTCACCTCGTCGGACATGAAGGCACGGTCGGGGTCGTCGACGATGGGCGACAGAGTCCCATCGTAGTCTAAGAACATGACGATCTGCTTCCCCTTCGACGCGGCCGCGAGAACCTCGAAGTCGTCCAGCGCCGACGGATGCAGTTTCTGCGTGCGAGTTCCCGCAAACCAGCACCGTCGTCAGTAAGCATCAATAGCTACGCCGGACCAAGATCAAGCAGCAACCACACTCACCATCCATCCGTCGTAGTCTTGCTCGTCATGGGAAGCAAACGAGGAGACTGCGCGCGCCGCCGCCGACTTGACGTGGGTGGGAGACGAGGCCTTCATCGATTCGATCCACGAACCGGCCTTCCCACCGCCGCCGCCGCCGCTGCTGAGATCGGGCCGGCTCAGAAACTTCTTGTACCTGGCATGATTAGCTCCGCCGCTGACAGGACGAGTTGGCGCTGCAGCGGCCACCGCGACGGCTGGCTCCTCCTGCATGACCACATTCTGCTTCGTCATCTCGTCTTGCGCCGCTCTGCTTCTCCCCTGTATGTGAGTTGGGAGTTGTTGTTGTTGAAGTGACGAGAAGAATGGAGATCTGAGAAGATGAGAGTTTGGAGAATGGAAATCTGAGAAGATAAAGGTCAAGATCCTTCGCTCTTCTTCTTAACGGAGGGAGAAGAGCAGCAGGGAGAAGATGAGAGCTCGGAGCAGGTGTTCTATGGAGATTGGCGGAAGGGGGGGGAAGCGACGCGAGGTTTATATAAGGCTCGAGACCGGAAACGGACAAAGAACGCGCAAAACGGCCTTTGGGGTGGCGGTGTGGGGCCCGAAGGGAGGAAGCCGTGGCCGGGCAGGCTGCTGGCTCCAGGTGGCGCGCGACAGCACGAGGAGGACGATGCGAGGCCCGAATCTTGATGACCAGCACGGGCCCGCCGCGTCACCGCCCGCGGCTCTCAGCAGCTTCCGTTTTGGTTTAAGAATCCATTGGATTTTGTTTTGGCAGTATTCTTTTCTTTCCTCGAAAAAGAAAAATAAAAAAAATCCACTTGTCATTTTCTTTTTTGTGTGCGGACAAATATATGTATAGTTATTAAAATCGGATGATTAAATTTGGTCATCAATACAACTTGATGAAATCGACTCGAATCGTCACCTTAAAAATAGAAAAAAAAAGGTAAGTTCTTCCAAAAAGGATGCGAATAGAAATCTAAAAAATACATATATATCATATTTTGCTTAGTTCATTCCTATAAATGGTTGCACCTTCCATATATTTATTTTGCAAGGCTCATATGATGGTTAAGTCAGTACTAATTTGTTGTTTGCTAATGATGTCAAAAGTACATAAGAAATTTATTATTCGTTTAGTATAATCAAAATGATGATATATACCTCATAAGATTATTTCATGTAGCATTAGTTTTTATAATTATCGATTTGATGAGAATATGTATTTTTTTAGGTGTCATATTGTTGAACTATATTTAATAAGTTCTTTATCATTTTCTAAAGTTAATATGGTATGTCATAATATAGGGATTGACTAGACTCCATGTATCACCCTCCATTATACTTTGAGACATTGATTTGTCCCGAACATAGCATCTAAAAAATATCGATGAATCAATGTTTTATTTCATATAGAACATCGACCCTAAAATAGAGTATTTCATATAGACATTATGGATGCTAGGAATGTTTTATTTAATATCACATATGGAAGAAGAAAAACAATGCAAGTGAAGTTATACTAAAAATATTTTCTTTACATACCGTTAGTTGAAGCATGTCAAAGAATCTCTTTTATTATCTCTAGATATTGATATGACATGCCCAATAAATACTATCTAAACCCAAGTAATTAAAAAAAATTATCATATTAAAACTAATTAGTGATCTGATCAATATTTAAGTCATTGCGGTTGACAATCGGGATAATTATTAGTATTATACCATGTAATAAAAATATTTTAAAAAAGTAAAGATTAAACATATCAAAGAAAAAAATCAATTTTTTATTTTATTTACTGTTAAAATTTTAAAATGATACATTATCCATCCATAAACAACAAATAAGGGTTTCCTTAATTGGTTGTTCCTAGTTTAACTTAACCCTTAAGTAAGTATATTCAATCCAACAATCAAATTGGATTTGTGGATTTTTCGAGTTCTTCGATTAATCTCCTCGATCAAGTCTGGTTTCAATAATATGGTTAGATAGTTTACTTTGCACAAGGATTTATTTGTCTATCGAATAAATTGTCTAAAATTTATAATTTTTCTTGAATAAAAAATTAAATGAGAACGTTGGAAGAAGACATATGGAAGATCTAATTATAAATTCTTCTCGCTATAATTTGTATTATATCATGCATTAAATTGTATGTTTTGGGACCATTGTGTCTTCCTCCAATTATTATATCAGACTTCAAGACATCAATAACAATTGACATCATTATCAAGGCATAGGTAAATGCTAGCTGGATCCCTCGAGGACACAATGTCCTATTATTTGTGTCATATTTTTAGCAATGAAAATGTGGGCTAATTGTGGAACCTTATTCTAGGAATGGGCATATTTGATAAGCACATGTCACATACATATAGGGACCATCATAGGGCACACCTATGGGCTCCATATTGTTGAATAATTTATTCTTAGTTTTCTAAATGATAGAAAAGAGTTTATTATTTAAAGAAGTCGTAAAGAGCGAATCTTTTCGTTATTTTCTAAATGATAACTTTAGTTTTATCTTTTTCTTCTTTTTTGATTTTATTGATTGATGAGGAAAAATATTATTAACATATCGGTACATGGTCTGAACCCGTATACGTAGAATAATTCGAGGTGTTTGTCTCTGATATGAAAGCGTATAACTCCCGATATGTCGTCAGCATAAAAATCGAGGTCAAATTTTTTTTTTAATAAAAATATAAATTTATTCTTTTTTATAATGTTAAAGATGAGTATTCATACTTGATAATAAAAGATAAGAAGGAAGCTTACGATTACTTGCTTTGGATCTTTATCCACGTGGATAGACAAAATAGAGGGGTGACTTTCATCTTTTTCTCTCTTTTTGGATACCGCATGACAATTTCGCATCAAATGATGATTAATTGATAAATTAATTATTAAGAAAAGATTAGGATCAAAGTTGATATTTTGAATAAATGCAATTAAATGAAAAAAAAAGAAGAAAAACAACAAGAAACCCTATTAACCGTTCGTATATAATAGAACATGTGCTCATATATATAGGAACCATAGAGTGAGTACATCTATGGGGACCATATAACTGGCTGATTTATCAGAAGAATCTCTCGAGTAATTTAAATTTCTTTTAAAAGAACTAATAAGTAGTTTCACTCTTATTTTCTGAATTACAACCTAACTTTGTTCTTTCTCTCTTTAGTCAAAAGTTAAGCTGAAAGATAGATAAAATCATCTTGAAGAAAAGCAGCATGCACCAAAAAAAAGGATGTGCACTATCAAATAATCATGCCTTTAGTAAACAGGCATTTAAGTGAACACCACTTGGACTACTTCCAAAGAGAAGAAGCTGCAGCAAGCAGTACTTTGTCTTTCAGTTGATTATGTCTTCCATCTTGTTGGAGTCTTAGTACAAAAACCCTAATCGAAAGATAGCCTCGATTGTTAAGGGATGTATCTGTCACCAACTCCCTCGTGCATTGTCCTAATTAATTGCTATACCTCCTTTCTAGTTTCTGCTCTCTTTCTTAAACATCCCTGATGCAGAGTTCAAAGACCTCCCTACATTAATCATTGTAGTGTACTTGCCGAGCAATGGCTTGTTCAGATTAGTAAGTCTATGTCATTAAAGACCAGTTGCCCATGATACTGACCAGCCAAACGAAAGGGCCAACAAGAAACCAGATAACGCATTATCCCTCGTCTTCTTATGCTTGTCTATTCTCCTTTTCCTACCTAATTATCCACAACTATACGATAAAGTCTTGTGGTTTTTTGTTTTCGTCAAACTCTTCATTAATTAACGGTGCACAGAGATCTACTCCAGAATTGAGAAGCAGGATTTCCGACATCTCCGTCTCTCTCTCTCGTGGATTTATCGGCATGTCCACAAGAGTGACCGAGATGCATGGAGAATAACTTGTCCGTTCTCCAGAGGTGGTGGCCGCATTCCGCAGTGCCAGAAACGTAGTTATCGCAGCCATCGGCATTCTGGAGATGGGACCATTTATTGTCTTGCAGAGCTTTGCCACCTTTGAGCTTGTGGTGTGTTGTTGAGTGCATGCAGTTCTCGTTCTTCTCTACATTGACCAGAGCAACTACATGGAGATGTGCAGTCACAGCTTTATCGAAGCCACCAACTGCTATGAACCCTAAACACACGAAAGACTAAATGAACGGACGGAAATCACGTGGAATGTAACGATGATGTGCTACTTAGTTCATAGATTTTGCATGGATTTGCGTTAAGGTAAGATTTTGGAACTTCCATTTTATCTAATGCTTCATGCACTCGATTCTGCTACAATATAGTTTATGAAGGATTTAATGAATTGAATTGTCATGGTGGTCAAAAGTCGTAGTCAGAGACTCGATATGAAAACAAGCATGCCACGTGAAGTCTGCCTCTACACGACAACTCAATCGTTATCTGTGTCTACGCACTAATTAAACTTTAAAGTACACTTGGACTTTTGCATCGCACATCTCGATCGATTAGACAAACCCCATTTTTGACGGTCGGAGTGCTGCCACTTGCAGCTTTGATATGAAGCCAATTGGATGTAAATGAGCAAAATATGAAGTACATGTAGTCTTTTCAGATATGCATATATGTGTATTAAAGATGACATGCACGGAAGAAGAAAAGGTTTCACATGATGTGTTGCAGAAAGTTTACTGCACTGTGGAAACAAAGAGGGCACGTAAATTTGAAGACTGTGTTGCATGGGAACTAACCGATGATCGAGAAAAGAGATCGAACCGAGCTGACACTTGACTTCCGGATCCAATGATCAAATATCTCCAAGGTGAATGTCCCGTCATCCAATCCATATGGACTTCTCGTCCACCGTCCTTGTTCAGTTTCCTCTACGTGTAAAGGCACAAGAGGAGGGGAATCATGACGGCCTTTCTGAGTCCTTCGAGCATGCAGTTCCTGCTTTTAAAAGGTTAGGTGAGATACATTGAAGCTTCTCCGCGAATGAGGACGAGGCAGGATTCTCATACAGAGGTGGAAAGTTAGGTTATGTCTTGGTCCAGAACTTGCAGTGATCGACAACTGTGTGCAACTTCTACTGAGGGTCGATCAGGAACCATTGTTTTCAGATTCATGTTAGAAAGGGGAACAGCCGACAAGTTCAATTGTATTGAGTTCCTTTCTAGGTTGACTTCGGATTTCCCTAGTGTTGAGTCCACTACGTTCCTAAGAACAACTGAAGGGGTGTTGCTTTCACTGTGCCGACGGAAAAGGAAGCCCTAAGGCCTGCGGTTTCTGCGGTCTTCATCCGCCACTAGCTGGTGGTGTTGAAGCGTTCAAACTTAGATTTCATTGGTGAATGGGCTTTCCACATCACTCGGCATCCAATGCGGTGATGAATTTTGCATGAGATCTCTTTGTGTGTGTGTGTGCGTGTGTGGGTACTTGGTAAATTTCAGACTGCACCTTCCTGGGTGGGCGATTGCTGGTGCATTATTTGAAGGGAAGAGGGTGCATTATTTGAAGGGAAGAGGAGCTACCAAGAACCCTAAACTTTCTAGCTTGGCTGACAGAAGATGTCTGTGTTGCTTATGATCGAAGCCTGTCAAGCATTTCTGCACAAAGTTCTCTGACAAGATGCACCACCGTGAATGCCTTATTCTCAGAGTTATATGATTGAAGTAGTTCTTTTGGAGTTTCTTCCTCCAGGAACCTCATGTTTGTTGTTGAGTTGGGTGGCTTCACCTCAAAGGACTATCCAAGAGGCTTTTGATTGAATTCACTTTGATTCTCTCCGACCAACTTGTGTGACACCAGATGATGAAATCATTCCCTCTCGAAATGACAATTCAGAATAATTTTCATCAGGGGATTCTTTATCCATCTCCCGAATTCCTTGCAAAACATATCCTGCTTCTATGTCTAAATATGAACAACCTCACCTCTTTGTTCAAGAAAAGAAGTTCTTCCTCAAAACAGAACCATAGGGACCGAGAAAGGTCATATGAAGCGGCTGATGCAGCTTTTGGTCAAGAGTGCATCAAGTTTGATCATATTTCATGCATGTCCAAATCAATCATCGGCATCAGATCATGTGGACAATGAAGCAGAACTAATACAATTCTTTCTAGTTAATGACTATTCTCACAACCAGAATCTAGTTAAAGAACAGTTGTTAATCTCCACACAGGCCATTTCAGAAACGAATAGTTCATCTGAGGAACAAGATATTTTATGGAGTCTATTGATCCTGCTTCAAACATCCTGGTACGTGGAATCTTCTTACTAATTCATTTCCCTGTGCTTCCATACCAAAATATCCATTACGCTAAACTTGAGTAATCTAAGCAAGAAGGCACCATACGATAGATACCTCCTAGATTTCTTTAACTTAGGATTACTTGAGCTCCGATGTTAAGGCTCATCATCAGCTACAAGCATACGAATATCTAAGATCACGAAGAGCAAGCCTGAAAGTTTAGTAATAGAAAGTATCATTTGATTCTAAGTGGAAGCGCTTTAATGCTTTTTGATGAGAAAGCGTAGTTTGATTCTCAGGAAAACAGTAGGTAGAGTCGTGCTTAGAATCTTTTGAGGGAAAAGACATGTGAGTTCCCAATCCATGCAAGCTGGAATCTTGGCATTTCTGCATTGAACTCAGACCTCAGAAACAAGATGAATCTACGTCCTTTGCTGCCATGCTTAGTCCTCTATTCAAACATCACGTTCGATGTTAGGTTCTGATTCTTCATGCTTTCATTTCCTTCGCCATTCTTTTCGTTCACGTCTCAGCTTGGAACTAATCAACTGATGATGTGCTGATGACAGAAACATGGGTCGTTTTATGGATCCGCACGAGCTGAACAACTTTATTCGATTCGGTGATGGAAAGAAGAGCCATTTTTGAGATCATGTATGTATGATATTTGAGATGGAAGGTTGAATTAGGCTCCCCAACATATTCTCTTCAAGTTAGAACTCATTGCTTGAGAACAAACAAATCAAAAAAGAAGGCGATCTTTGCGTTGCTTAATGCGCAAGTTCAGAAAACAAGCACTGCAGATCCAGAAGATTTCCAATTCCAAATTGGCTGTTTGCTTTCTCTGTGACTTGGGCATGTCTTGAACTCTTCTTTACCTCTTTTCTTTCCGTCCTTGACCTTCTTTTATATTACAATGCCAACATTTTCCACATGCTGAAGTACTAAAATGGAACTTAAAGATCATCTAGGAGTTCAAGTTGCTAAAGAATAATATTCATTTTGGTTTTGTTGGACATTAATCAGTTAAGTGCAGATGATTTAATTCATCAAACTTTTTTTTGGAATGCAAGAGAGAGAGAGAGAGAGAGAGAGAGAGAGAGAGAGCAAGTAACAACACTATTTCCATGGTGCAACTCTAGAATCACCTCTAAGGGTTGTAAACACCTCAACTTTAAGGAAATGAAGAAGGCATTCCCTTGATCAACTTGTTCCTATTTTTTCTGTATCAAATAAGTTTCCTTAAGTTTTCTGTATCTTCATGGTTAATCTGGGCTGGGCTTTGAGGTGGACTGTGATGAGAAGAGGCAGACTAAGCTGAGATAGAGCTCAGTTAGCTATGGCACAGGAAATACCATTAACAGAAAAAAAAAGAAAAAAAAAAGAAGAAAACTAAAACAAATTAATGAAGCATTTTCCTACCATTTTCTGAATAACCACAAATTAGACAAAGTTCCTTGATTAATTATGTTAATAATTATTGTGCTTCAATTTAATTGATATATATATATATATATATATATATAATGTATTTGTGATGAAAGAATGCTTAACTATTCATATTATAATTTTTAATAAGAGCAATTTAAACTTTACAAAATAAAAATATTAAATCCAAATAAAAGAAAAGGTCATTTGTAACGCTAGTTATGACGGTTATAACGGGCGTTGTTTTACAGCTTCATGCCGGAGGTTTCCGTAACGGCCGTCATACCCCGCCGTAAGATGGCATCTATTCCCCGTCACCGCTGCAATCCAACTTGCGAAAGAAGGGGCGACGCGATGCAGCGGTCTCGCTTCCTCCTCGCCGGCTACACCGCCGTCCGATCCGTATCGGGCCTCCGCGGCTATCGGCCTCTCTCTTCCGCCTCCGCCGACACCCCGGCCCAAGTCCTATCCTCCACGCCGCCGCCACCTGCGCGGACACTCGCCGACCTACGCCGGCGCCTAGCCGAGGAATCTCCCGCCTTCTCTGATTTCGTCTACTCTGTTGAGGTCGGAACTAAGAAGAGGTCGCTTCCCAAGCCTAAGTGGATGAAGGAGACCATCCCTGGGGGCGCCAAGTACGCCGCCATCAAGTCGAAGCTCCGGGAACTCAAGCTCCACACGGTGTGCGAAGAGGCCAGGTGCCCTAACCTCGGGGAGTGCTGGTCGGGAGGCGAGACCGGCACTGCCACTGCCACCATCATGATCCTGGGGGATACTTGTACCCGCGGTTGCAGGTCGTATTCTATTTGTTTCCTTTCCTCCTGTTTTCTTGCCTTTTTTTCCTTGAAAATTGTTCCTTTTTTCATAAAAGAAAAAGATGTAAAATTTGCCTGTGTCTATTGATAATGAAGCATTTGATTTGTAGCAACGTAAGTAAGAATGTGGAGATCCCATTCATCTTAACAATAGGTCTCTTTATCTGATCTTAGGAATGGAAATTATGTGACGAAATTATTGATTTGATAGCTCTTGAAGTCTTTCCTTTTTGTTTTGCTACTAAGTTATGGTTGTGCTGTCCTTGAAGTTGAGAACAAATTTACATATTGATTATGAGTGTTCAAATTGTGTGTTAACTTACGTGTTCTACAGTTTAGAATATGATTTTATGGTTGTCGTGTTTGATAGTTAATTATTAGGAACGTCGAATGAAAGATTAGGAGAAAAAGAGGGTGCAGTATTATCTGTGTATAATTTAGAGTCTAGTTCAGTAGTACATTTTTCGTATGAATCACGAATCAACATTGTGGCATGAACTTGCTTTAAAGCCTATTGTTATTGCTTCCGGATATTGGAAAAGATTGCAGAACACATCAGACTTAACTAGTTGATTAGAGTGGATGGATGGTGGTCTTTGAATTCATGATCAGATGGAATCTTTTGCCAGATCGGATTTTTGAATTCAGTATTTTGGCTAAAAATGATTTTAATGAAAAATAAAATTAACATAAACTTGAAAAATGTGAGAGGAAGAACTCTGAAAAGAAAATCAAAGAACCTAAAAAAAAATTGAATTTGAGGTAAGGTTGGTGCAAATCAAGTAAAACATCAATGCAAACAAGGTGTGTGGTTTCATGCAAAAGATGGTCATATCAGCTGAAAAGCATCTAATCTAGACCTTTCTTCAACCACTGGAGTTGTTTTTAGCTGGCCAAAAACATCTTGTGCCTTTCACTCAATCAAATGTAGAGAATCACCTTTTCACTCAATTAACTGTAGATTATCAACAGTCCACCAGTGTAAAAACCATGACTTCCACCAGAGTTACTAGTATCATCACACCATGGCTTCCACCTACAAAGTTCAATTTCTTACCAAATAATTTATCACGTTTTCCTGTTCATGGGCAATTTAATGCAATGAAACTACATATGGCTTATCTGGTCTCATTGATGGTTATTGATGTGAAACTCATTAATGACTTGGAAGTTGGACACAACCTGCAGAAATTCTTATATGCATTTCAAAGTATTTTGCTTGTAGTTATGCTTAACTTCAATGCAATGTGGACCTGATGTTAACCTGGAGTTTTCAATACTCAAGATATCAATATATTTCTTCCATATCTAAAGGTTAATGTTACTATTTCTTGCCTCTTCAGATTCTGTAATGTAAAGACATCGCGCACTCCTCCTCCACCAGATCCAAACGAACCTTCTAATGTTGCTGAAGCAATTGCCTCATGGGGTTTGGATTATATTGTGATTACTAGTGTTGATCGTGATGACTTGCCTGATCAAGGAAGTGGCCATTTTACTGAAACTGTACAAAAGTTGAAGGCTTTCAAACCAAAGATTCTGATAGAAGCACTAGGTATGATCTGTGATTTACGTCTTTTTCATTAGTTATAGCCATGTTTTTTTAGTAGTACTGGTTATTTATTTACTTAGAAGGCTTCTATTATCACAAGAATGACCCTTTTGTAACAAAATAACTTTTCATCTTTGCCATTGATTAATTAGCCTTATCAGCCCACTCCTAACAGGTTAGGAAAGGCATGGGCTAATCAAGCTCTCTCACTAAGTCCAAACGTTCTAGTCTTTTATCCTGTGCATTAAAGTTATCTTATTTAGTAGTTTAGCTCTCTAGCTGATAGCTTAGGCAACCTTTTTCTCCTCCTTGAATTGAAGAAACACTTGTTCGAAGCTTCACTTCTAATAACTAAAAAAAATGGTTAGGAAAATATAGCATTTTTTTAAGGAAAGGAAAAAGTAATTATTGTTTAATTAGCCTTGATTAAAATTGATCATGATTATGTAGAACTTGTTACCGTTTAAAATGTGCTAAAGTGCATCCACATCTTTTATGATTCATATAACTTGGACTTGAATGTTCAAAAACATTTTCTTTATGCCTTTAGAACCTCATCATTTTCTAGTCTTTAAGATTTTTGCATGAAACATGTTAAAGAGGCTTCAAAAGATAGATGTTCATTTTTGAGATTCATATGATAGCAGAAGAATGGTATCACTGGAGTTAACTTTCATGTGGGAAAAATAAGTCCACGGTGACCAGTGCTGGAGATAAGCTTTATGACTAATGCTGGATATAAGCTTTATAAGAACAAGTGTGCAATATGTCTGAATGTTGAGCGGTGCAGATTGTTTCTATGTTGCTACTTATGAAAGCTACCACGTGGTTCATAAAACTCGTACTGATCCCTTGGTGGGAGTCTCATGCATTGGGCTACACCTTTTTTTATCAACATATATGTTCACTGTATTTGTTATCTAACTCTCTTAGCTCTTAATGATTGGGCTGATTACTGAATCCTTTCTTTAAGATTTGGGTAACTCTTTTAAAATTTCTCTAACCTTATTGTTATTTGCGTTAATGACTGTGCAGTTCCTGATTTTCGAGGAGATCCCAGCTGTGTGGAGAAAGTTGCAAAATCTGGATTGGATGTTTTTGCTCACAACATTGAGACAGTTGAAGAGCTTCAGAACATGGTCCGAGATCACCGTGCTAACTTCGAACAATCGATTGATGTCCTTAAAATGGCAAAAGAGTATGCTCCATCTGGGACTCTTACAAAGACATCAATTATGTTGGGTTGTGGTGAAACACCTGAGCAGGTAATCAGCACAATGGAGAAAGTGAGAGCTGCAGGAGTTGATGTCATGACATTTGGTCAGTACATGAGACCGTCAAAAAGGCATATGCCAGTCTCAGAGTATGTTACACCAGAAGCTTTCGAGAAGTATCGATCACTTGGAGTTGAAATGGTACTATCTCATGATGTTTGTGTCTCTGATTGTTAATGGTATTAGCTTAAGAATGACACCATATAATTAGCTTCCTCGACTGATTCTTTGACAAGATGAAAAATCTCTTTTCCTTTTTAGATTCTCCTTATGCTTTCAAAGCTTTTTCTTTTTTTTGTCAAAATCAGCCTAGATAATTTAAGGATATGCAGGAAAACAAGTGTCTTGTGAATGACTCTTAAAAGTATGCTTACATGTAGTTATAATGTTTCCACTGATTGAAGTTGTCCATTGAGTTACATGCAGTACTAACGTGATATGATGCTTTGGCAGGGGTTCCGATATGTTGCATCTGGTCCTATGGTCCGATCATCATATAAAGCAGGTGAATTTTACATCAAGTCAATGATCGAAGCTGATCGAGCTATGGCTTCCTCCACATCAAATGATGGATCTTAGTCACAGTAATGTTCTATACCTGTACATCACAAAATTGAGTTGCATTTCCTTTCGGCAAATACATCAGAGCTTTCTATTCTGGTGCATCATCAGCATTGACGCTGTATTTTGTTGTCAAAGTGTTGTCAAATTTATTTATAAATGTAACTGAGATGGACAGTTGTCTAGACTGATGTATTTTGTTGAATGTGAAAATAATATAACAAATCTTGTTTTCTGAGCTAGCAAGTCATCACCAACCAATATAATATAACTACTGCAGTTGTTCGAACTTAGTGAGGATAAAGAGGTGAGTCAGCAGTGCCGCCATCTCCCATACCAAGGTTGCTGCCACAACACCATCTACCAACTCAGCATGATTTCTGGTATGTTATTGGGGAATCAACTTCAAAAGTTATATAGTTTGCAAATATTTTCTCTTGCTTATATGCATTGGGAAAAAATTCCAGACAGCAATAAGTACCTGTTCTTTGTTGTTCAAGTGCAATATTTTCAGCATCATCGGTGGGATCTAATTATGCATAAGATTAGCCATGTATGTGTCCACATGGAAGAAAATTTTCTTCAATGTTCACGTTTATCTGGGATGAAAAGAATTTCCAGACTTGGGACCAATTAATCAAAATGTGGGGTTTTCTCCCAATGTTCCATATATCTGAGAACTGTCCTTCCATTAGTTGATGGAGAGTTATTTTCTAGGAAACCTGCAGTATAAGAAGACAGGCTGTGTATATACATTAAAACATTATTCTCTCAAGTGGCACACACAAAAGGTTAGGAATTTTCTTAAAGTGGCATGCTTCTAAAGGTGGAAAGCATTTGCGTTGACTTGTGTTACTACTGTCGACTCACAAGTCCTTTTGAATCATAACAATAGTAATTTTAACTTTGTCTTATGAGATTAGACCTGTATTTTGTTTTATACAAGGAATGATAGTTAGTATTTGGGTTTCATTAGGTGAGCCACCATTTGCAAGGAATGGTAGTTTGAGTTGGATCACAGGAAATGTCCATATGAAAAGTGGGAAAGTATATGGATGGTCAACAGAAAAAATAATAATAATAATAAATCCTGTGTGCTGGAACCAATCTTCCGGTTTTTTTTTTCTCTCTCTCTTCATTTTCCCAAGAAAAATTCCAAATAAGAGTAGTTATTCAAATATAGATATTTTTATTCTGACGGTGTCTTGTTTGAAGCTTTTCAGCTATTGTTGGTAAGACTGGATAATTTATTTTCTAATGCATATGACTGAGAGGTGCAGGCTCTGCTTGGGAAAAATAGAGACTAATTGGATTTCTCATCATCAGTATTTAGTAGATGTATTGCACTCCACATAAAATGTATTTTGGCTCTCATTACCAGTATAAAGTAAAGGAACTTCCCTTTGTCTTCTCCATTTCTCATTTTAACAGTTCAATATCTTTATTTCGTGTGAGAAAGAAATATGCAATATATTTTATTTTTTTCACATTATAGAATTTACAGTGATGTTTATATTTGCATATTATGACTTGTGTAAACTGCTATCGATCCATCTCAAACTCAAAATGAATATTTCAATGTGCATGTGCAGGGCTTTATAAACAGTGGCTAGATGTAGCATTCGCCACCCTTTTCTGTTCTAAGTGTCATACATTAATGCATCATATTTTTCTCCTCATGATCGGAAAGTGATACATGGATTGGAATGGGCGTTGAGTCAACTTTTGGAAAAACTGCATGTGATATGCAAGTACAGGAGGAGTCAGACTTTACTATTCTGAGATGATGGGTTGGTCAGTCTTCAACAATGTCCTGCCGCAATTATCGTTTACGAGCCACAAAAGTCAACGGTGGATCCTTGGAGAACTGTGAAACCCATCATCAGGAGAGAATGATTACTCATATTTCTGTGTGACTTTGACCTTTTTTATCCCCACAAGAGGGTGTTCAGAATGAGAATTGGCCAAATTGATGAACTTGTATCGATTCATCTTCATATTTTTCTTCTTTCGGGTGCAAGAAGTTTCTATATATTTTTTGTTCAAACATCATACAAGTCAAATAATTGCTGCATGCTTCAAATTATCAATTGAGAAGATTTATTCTAAAGGTAAGTTGAAAGCCATGGCGATAGGCATTAAGAACTCACAAGAACAAATGATTGGAAGTCGAAAGAATCAAGACCACTTCTTTAAGCATCCCCTTTTGCTTTTTTGTTTAGAGAAGTCATTCTTTCTGCAATTATCAACTCATCTTGAAGGAATCGAGGTCTGCTAACTTTCCGTTTTGGTCATCATTTCTACGGTAATTACTGCATTGTAATACCGTCAAAAGCATTATTTTCATGCCAACCACCTGTCTGTACCAGAAGACTATACATGGTGTGCAGTATAATCGGCTAATTAAGCTGCCTGTTGATGTTAGCCAGCATCACTGCAGAAGATGTCGATCCAATCTAGAAGCATTTGACCACCTTTCAAGCTGCAAAATCTCTATAAATGTCTCTTCCCACAAGCTTAACTTTGCCATAGAATCAGTCATAGCTCAGCCATGGCAAGCCACCACCTCTGCAAATGGCTTCCATTCCTTCACCTGCTCTCCTGTCTTCCTGTTCTTGCCTTGGCTGCCAGATCCACCCCTTCTAGCACATTCAAGGCTGTCAACCTCGGAGGATGGCTTGTCACTGAGGGCTGGATCCAGCCCTCCCTCTTTGATGGCATTCCCAACAAGGATTTCTTGGTAACAACAACAACCATTCTTTGGTCATGGCTCTTCATTTTTGTTTTCCTTTGCTCTCTTATGTCCTTACTGCTATCTCCTAATGGATTTGTGATCACCATCGCCATCAATTTCATTAGAAAATAGAAGAAAACATATTTTGGTTCTTGTTGTTGAAATTTGCTGGCTTTCATGATTACATTAGTAGAGAAAGATGATCCAATCACTCGGTCTTCCCCCTGCTGACTTTTGAGTCACTTGCGGCTGTCTCTTGTGCCTTAGGATGGTACTCAGCTCCAATTCAAGTCGGTGACGCAGCAGATGTACTTGTGCGCCGAGAGCGGTGGCGGAACGATCATCGTCGCCAACCGATCAAGTGCTTCGGGCTGGGAGACCTTCAAAGTGAGTCTCGTTTCTTGATCTCTTCCTACTGATGAACAGCAACTTGTCGTTTTATCAGAGCTTTGCTGCTTCTGAACCAGCTGTGGAGGATCACGGAGTCCACCTTCCAGTTTCGGGTCTTCAATGGACAGTTCGTAGGCCTCAGCGACCAAGGAAATGGCGTAGACGTAGTGGCCGTCTCGACTTCACCAGGTGAATCGGAGACGTTCGAGATCGTCGTAAATGCCAATGACTCCAACCGTGTTCGAATCAGATCAACCAACGGATTGTTCTTGCAGGTGCTTGAAACAGCTACGAGTCTTGCTGCTTCTACAAAACCCTTTCTTGTTCTCAACACGAACGTCTCTCTGTTTTGGTAGGCGAAGAGCGATGTGTTGGTGACGGCGGATTACCCTGAAAGCACCAGCTGGGGAGACGACGATCCATCCGTCTTCCTGATGACGAAATTTGGGACGCTGCAAGGGGAGTACCAGGTCACCAATGGTTACGGAACAGAAGCCGCAGCAGTGATGACAGTAAGAAATCTCCAGAGCTCCATGAGCAGATCTGTTTATGTTCATCTTCCATGATTACTGATCATTATTGTAATTGTCGGCAAAATGCTTAAGATGATTAAGACCTTTTTAGGATGCCTTCCTCCATAAAGCTGGCCATCTTTTACATTAAAGTTGACTTTTGACCAGGATATCTTTAACTCTTATCCAAGGGTTGACTAACGATTCCGTTTGAATGGTGGCAGGAGCACTGGAACACCTTCATAACCGAGGATGATTTCAAGTTCATATCGGGCACCGAGTTGAATGCGGTGAGGATTCCAGTCGGGTGGTGGATCGCCAGTGACCCCAGCCCTCCATCGCCTTTCGTTGGAGGGTCACTTCGAGCTTTGGACAACGCCTTCACCTGGGCAGAGTAAGAAACTTCTTCGGTCAATGCCTTTGAATCTGTCCCGGATGAGCCTTCAATTCAGTTGACCTTGTCGGTCGCAGAAACTAGAAGTCAAACCTCTAACAATCCTTGCTTGGATGCAACAGTAAATACAATCTGAAGGTCATAATCGACTTGCACGCTGCACCGGGGTCGCAGAACGGGTACGAGCACAGTGCATCAAGAGACGGATCGATCGACTGGGGCACGACCGACTCCACCATCGATCGAACAGTGGCCGTGATCGAGTTCCTCGCCGCCAGGTTGTGGTGCCTTCCTCTTGTCGATCGGTCAACTGTAAGATTAAGCAACAACATGAACCGATCCACCTCCCTTTCCTTCGCAGGTACGCCCAAAGACAAAGCCTTCTAGCGGTGGAGCTGCTCAACGAGCCCCGAGCCAGCGGAGTTCCCCTCGACACCCTGAAGAAGTACTACCAAGCAGGCTATGACGCCGTCCGCAAGCACACGACCAGCGCCTACGTGATCATGTCGAACCGTCTCTCCGGCAGCAACACCGAGTTACTCCAGTTCGCGAGCGGCCTCAGCCGCTCGGTCGTCGACGTCCACTACTACAACCTCTTCTCCGACATCTTCAACGGCTTGACCGTGCAGCAAAACATCGACTACGTGAACAACAACAGGTCCAGTGAACTGAACACCGTCATCACTGCAAATGGACCTCTTGTGTTCGTAGGTAATCAGACCCCGTCAGAGCTTTGTTTGGACAAAACCTCCATTGTCGAGGGCTGAAAACCTTGTGGTTGCAGGGGAATGGGTGGCAGAGTGGACGTTGAGTGGGGCATCGAAGGAGGACTACCAGCGTTTCGCGCAGGCTCAGCTGGACGTGTATGGCCGAGCAACATTTGGGTGGGCGTATTGGACGCTGAAGAACGTGGAAAACCACTGGAGCTTGAGATGGATGATCGACAATGGCTACATATCTCTGTAGCCCATTATAACAGCAATAGAATTTGGCCAATGTTCTCCTTATCCCTGCACGTTCAGTATCAAAAAAGAAATCAAAGGGAGCATCATCCACTCAATCCCAGCTTATATCAAATGTATTTTCGGCCAATGTTTCCTCGTATTCAATAATGTGAAATAAGAAATGTGTCAACCTTCTTCTCCTTTCGAAATCTGAAGACAGCAGAGCTCTTCAAACAAGATTCGATTTATGATTAGAAAGATGCAAGAGGGAGCCATTGACTGCTATTCGCCGTGATGAAGGATGTAGCATTGGAGCGTCATGAACAGCAACATAAATTATTTGGCGTTGGAGTAATCAAATACAAAGAAAAAAAAATCGAACTAAATTAAACTATTTATTATGTGGGATGAAATCATCTAAATGTCTCGAGCATAAAGAGAATCTAAGGGTAGCATGAGCGATACCACCTCAACTAGCAAACTAAGAGCACTAAGTACAGTATGCGAAAGATCATATGCTGCAAAAGAAGGCGGTGGCGAATGCGAGATTGGCGAGGACTACTACAAACGACGTTGCGAGCTTTAGCGAGTCGGAGGACGAGGGGGATGCAGCAGGTGCCGTCGCTGGCGGATGAGAGTTAGAGCCCGGCGCAGAAGCTGGTGCTGTTGCCGATGGTGGCGGCGCTGCGATTGAAGAAGATGGTGGATGCGACGGCGGCACCGAAATCGAAGATGACGGTGCATTCGCCGGTGGCTCTACAACCGGCACCGAAATCGAAATGAACGCGCTTCCACCGAAGCTGACGGAGCGTTCGACGAAGGCGCTTGACCCGAACCTGAAGGTGCATTTGATGGAGGCGCTTCCGCAGAACCTGGCGGTGGCGCCGCAATCGAACCTGAAGGAGCATTCGACGAAGGAGCTTCCACCGAACCTGAAGGCGCATTAGACGAAGGTGCTTCAACTGAACCTGATGGTGGATTCGACGGTGGCGATGAGATGGAACTCGACGGTGGGGTTGCTGGGGACGGATGAGTGATGGGAGTAGAAGCCGGAGGCGGCGTCTCATTGCATGAACAGAAGCAGGGTATGCGTCATCGAGTAACCCAAGAGCTCAGTTAGCTATGGCGCAGGAAATACCATTAACAGAAAAAATAAAATAGAATTAAAAATAAAACAAATTACTGAAGCATTTTCCCACCATTTTCTGAATAACCACAAATTAGACAAAGTTCCTTAATTAATTATATTAATAATTATTGTGCTTCAATTTAATTTATATATATATATATATATATATATATATATATATATATGTATTTGTGATGAAAGAATGCTTAACTATTAATATTATATTTTTAATAATATTTAATAAGAGCAATTTAAACTTTACAAAAATAAAAATATTAAATCCAAATAAAAGAAAAGGTCATTTGTAACGGTAGTTATGACGGTTATAACCGGCGTTGTTTTATAGCTTCATGGCGGAGGTTTCCGTAACGGCCATTATACCCCGCGGTAAAATTGCATCCATTCCCAGTCTCCGATGCAATCCAACTTGCGAGAGAAGGGGCGACGCGATGCAGCGGTCTCGCTTCCTCCTCGCCGGCTACACCGCCGCCCGATCCGTATCGGGCCTCCGCGGCTATCGGCCTCTCTCTTCCGCCTCCGCCGACACCCCGGCCCAAGTCCTATCCTCCACGCCGCCGCCACCTGCGCCTGGCGCCTAGCCGAGGAATCTCCCGTCTTTTCTGATTTCGTCTACTCTGTTGAGGTCGGGACTAAGAAGAGGTCGCTACCCAACCCTAAGTGGATGAAGGAGACCATCCCTGGGGGCGCCAACTACGCCGCCATCAAGGCCAAGCTCCGGGAACTCAAGCTCCACACGGTGTGCGAAGAGGCCAGGTGCCCTAACCTCGGGGAGTGCTGGTCGGGAGGCGAGACCGGCACTGCCACTGCCACCATCATGATCCTGGGGGATACTTGTACCCGCGGTTGCAGGTCGTATTCTATTTGTTTCCTTTCCTCCTGTTTTCTTGCCTTTTTTTCCTTGAAATTGTTCCTTTTTTCATAAAAGAAAAAGATGTAAAATTTGCCTATGTCTATTGATAATGAAGCATTTAATTTGTAGCAACGTAAGTAAGAATGTGGAATCTTTTGCCAGATCGGATTATTGAATTCAGTATTTTGGCTAAAAATGATGTTAATGAAAAATAAAATTAACATAAACTTGAAAAATGTGAGAGGAAGAACTCTGAAAAGAAAATCAAAGAACCTAAAAAAATGAATTTGAGGTAAGGTTGGTGCAAAGCAAGTAAAATATCAATGCAAACAAGGTGTGTGATTTCATGCAAAAGATGGTCATATCAGCTGAAAAGCATCTAATCTAGACCCTTCTTCAACCACAAGTGTTGTTTTTAGCTGGCCACAAACATCTTGTGCCTTTCACTCAATCAAATGTTGAGAATCACCTTTTCATTCAATCAACTGTAGATGATCAACAGTCCAGTGTAAAAACCATGACTTCCACCAGAGTTACTAGTATCATCACTCCATTGCTTCCACCTGCAAAGTTAAATTTCTTACCAAATAACTTATCACGTTTTCTTGTTCATGGGCAATTTAATGCACTGAAACTACATATGGTTTATCTGGTCCCATTGATGGTTATTGATGTGAAACTCATTAATGACTTGGAAGTTGGACAAAACCTGCAGAAATTCTTATTTGCATTTCAAAGTATTTTGCTTGTAGTTATGCTTAACTTCGATGCATTGTGGACCTGTTGTTAACCTGGAGTTTTCAATACTCAAAGATATCACTATATTTCTTCCATATCTAAGGGTTAATGTTACTATATCTTGCCTCTTCAGATTCTGTAATGTAAAGACATCGCACACTCCTCCACCAGATCCAAACGAACCTTCTACTGTTGCCGAAGCAATTGCCTCATGGGTTTTGGATTATATTGTGATTACTAGTGTTGATCGTGATGACTTGCCTGATCAAGGAAGTGGCCATTTTACTGAAACTGTATAAAAGTTGAAGGCATTGAAACCTAAGATTCTGATAGAAGCACTAGGTATGATCTGCGATTTATGTATTTTTCACTAGTTATAGCCATGTTTTTTTAGTAGTACTGGTTATTTGTTTACTTAGAAGGCTTCTATTATCACAAGAATGGCCCTTTTGTAACAATATAACTTTTCATCTTTGCCATTGATTAATTAGCCTTATCAGCCCACTCCTAACAGGTTAGGAAAGGCATGGGCTATTCAAACTCTCTCACTATGTTCAAACGTTCTAGTCATTTATTCTGTGCATTAAAGTTATAATATTTAGTAGTTTAGCTCTCTAGCTGATAGCTTAGGCAACCTTTTTCTCCTCCTTGAATTGAAGAAACTTTTGTTCAAAGCTTCACTTCTAATAATTAAAAAAAAATGGTTACGAAAATATACCATTTTTTTAGGAAATGAGAAAGTAATTATTGTTTAATCAGCCATGATTAAAATTGATCATGATTATGATAGAACTTGTTACCTTTTAAAATGTGCTAAAGTGCATTCACATCTTTTAGGCTTCATATAACTTGGACTTGAATGTTCATAAACATTTTCATTATGCCTCTATAACCTCATCATTTTCCAGTCTTTGAGATTTTTGCATGAAACATGTTAAAGAGGCTTCAAAAGATAGATGTTCATTTTTTAGATTCATATGATAGCAGTAGAATGGTATCACCGGAGTTGTTCTGTATACATTTTGAACTTTCATGTGGGAAAAATAAGTCCACAGTGATCAGTGCTCGAGATAAGCTTTGTGACTAATGCTGGATATATGCTTTATAAGAACAAGTATGAAATATGTCTGAATGTTGAGTGGTGCAGATTGTTACTATGTTGCTACTTATGAAAGCTACCACATGGTTCATAAAACTCATACTGATCTCTTTGTGGGAGTCTCATGCATTGGGCCACAGCACCTTTTTTTATCAAAATATATGTTCACTGTATTTGTTATCTAATTCTTATCTTTTATGATTGGGCTGATTACTTAATTCTTTGCTTTAAGATTTGGGTAAGTCTTTTAAATTTTCTCTAACGTTATTGTTATTTGCATTAATGACTGTGCAGTTCCTGATTTTTGAAGAGATCCCAGCTGTGTGGAGAAAGTTGCAAAACCTGGATTGAATGTTTTTGTTCACGTCTTTGAGACAGTTGAAGAGCTTCTGAACATGGTCCGCGATCACCATGCTAACTTCGAACAATCGATTGATGTCCTTAAAATGGCAAAAGAGTATGCTTCATCTGGGACTTTTACAGAGACATCAATTATGTTGGGTTGTGGCGAAACCTGAGCAGGTAATCTTCACAGTGGAGAAAGTGAGAGCTGCAGGAGTTGATGTCATGACATTTGGTCAGTACATGAAACCGTAAAAAAGGCATATGTCAGTCTTGGAGAGTATGTTACACCAGTAGCTTTGGAGAAGTATCGATCACTTGGAGTTGAAATGGTACTATCTAGTGATGTTTGTGTCTCTGATTGGTAATGGTATTAGCTTAAGAAAGACACCATATAATTAGCTTCCTCTACTGATTCTTTGACAAGATGAAAAATCTCTTTTCCTTTTTAGATTCTCCTTATTGTTCCAAAGCTTTTTCTTTTTTGTCAATATCAGCCTATATAATTTAAGGATATGCAGGAAAACAAGTGTCTTGTGAATGACTCTAAAAAGTATGCTTACATGTAGTTATAATGCTTCCACTGATTGAAGTTGTACATTGAATTACATGCAGTACTAACGTCATATGCTGCTTTGGAGGGGTTCCGATATGTTGCATCTGGTCCTATGGTCCGATCATCATATAAAGCTGGTGAATTTTTCATCAAGTCAATGATTGAAGCTGATCGAGCTGTGGCTTCCTCCACATCAAGTGATGGATCTTAGTCACAGTAATGTTCTATACCTGTACATCACAAAATTGAGTTTCATTTCCTTTGGTCATATACATCAGAGCTTTTTATTCCAGTGCATCATCAGCATTGGTGCTGTATTTTGTTGTTTAAGAGTTGTCTAATCAATTTATAAATGTAACTGAGATCAACAGTTGTCTAGATGTATGTATTTTGTTGAATGTGAAAGTAATATAGCAAATCTTGTTTTCTGATCTGGCAAGTCATCACCAACCAAGATAATAACTAC